TTGTAGTATTCTTGCGCGACTGAAAATTTTAGTTCCAGACAAGAGTTAAAGCAAAGCAGACGCAAAAACATACATGTCATAGAAGTGTAGGGGTTATTATGTCCATTGCTCTGTCCGTCCCCCAAGAGCGACAGTTTTTTCTCCTAACAAATCCCAAGGAGTTTTTTCACTGTCTGCTCTTTTTAAAGCTATGTTCCACCTCATGTTTCATGTCAATAAGCCTCGCCAATAAACTCAGATACAATTTTTCTGATAGCACAACACACATGTTCAAATGGGGAACTCAAAAGTAACCCACCTACATCTCCCTCAAATATAACGACACCGAAACCCCTTGGTATGGACATGAAGAGAGAGAGGACTTCGAAGAATATAATTATCACATCTGTTGCAATTGTGAGTCCTCATAATTTATCAAGAAATTTTTTAGAATTGTCGATTGTAATTTCCCCAGTCTTTGTTAGTGACTGAAGTTTGTTGAATGGTCATTTTTAAATTTTGGCCACTGGGGGTACCGCCTAGGGATAATATCGGACGGAGGGATATGTCGGGTTTGTTAAATTTCGGCCGTCCGTAGTTCTTGGTGATTGTCGGTTCAGTATGTCTGGGGGCGTTTGGAATTTTCTTTATGCCGTTGCTTCTGCCCTGCAAGATACATCAATGGATGAAAACTGGGCTTCGATAGGATTCCTGGTAGGAAGCACTTCCAGCAAGGATATTGGCTCTTCGTTGTAGTCTGATTTGTTAAGAATTGCAGTTCAGCCCCCTATGTCCGCAGTTTTCAAGCCCTTCGATGGGCTCATTTTTCGCATATGTTAGTACTGAGAATATAGTTCGGTCCGTTAAAACTTGTAGACATTTCATCGTCCCTGAGATTTTCCGATGACATGGAAGACTACAGATTTGCAAGGCAGTTTAGGTAGTTCAAATAGGAAAGACTGTATTCCGTGTTCTAACAAAACATATCCCAGGGGGTTGAATTAATGAGAAAACCCTGCCGCTCCGATCCTCAGAGCCGGTTCCTTGTGGGAGAGAAGAAGTGCAAAGCAAGAGTGGGGGCGTCATCCGAAATGTCCGAGTCTGGCAATCGACTCAGCGTCCACAAGGCGGCCTTCGTATGAGTCAGCCTTGAAAGATTATTGATCAGACCGGATTGTAGGAGGTAGACGTTCGCGCGGAGCATGTGGGAGGCAGGCCGAGAACTGCAATCACGTGACATCATGCATGGCACGACGTCGAGGGTGAAAGATGCTATAGGGTCACAACAAGAGTATGCTCTTTGGCCACACCAGCCACCTACCCCCAGCCCATCTTCGCACTTCCTGACTTCATCTTGACACAGGGAACAGATGGGAGAGTGAAGCAAAGAGTGAGGTGCACCAAAAGTCTACTCTCATTATAGTCCAGCGCAAGTTACCGTCCTTGCACTATCCTGCTTTTTGGGTAGTATTGCGGGGGCCGAACGGTATGCCGATAAATTCAAATAAGCCAGAGGTTATGGCCATTTTGGTGAAATACTTCGGAACGACAGTGATCAGACAAAATGCGCGTAGCAGGTCAATTACCGAGAAAACTGCTTTTCTGAAAAGGATTCTGGCAAGGTCCTGAAGGAGAAGTACTGGGTATCGATTGTCGCGTTGCTGAGAGCACGGCAGTCTACCGACGTCATCTTGGACGCCTGGGGGCTCTCGGAAGGTCGGAAAAGCCCAGTTGCAGCATATGTTCAAATTCCGCCTTAGTGACTTAAAGGCAGGCATATGTAAGTCTTTTAGGACAAGCGAAAGCAGGGGGCCCGGAGTACGGGTGTTGTGCACAACAAAATGTTGAACCTCGCCACTGGGAAACTGGTGGACGGTGATGCTCAAATGCTGAAGTAG